CTCTTGCTCCCTTGCCCTTGTTCCTGTTCACTAGTTACCTTGGGTGTCTCTCTACCTGGCTGGCTTTTCAAGACTCCCCTGTGCTTGGTAGACCAGTGTAGCAATGCCTGTGCTCTTGCTGCCAAACCATCTGTCCTCCTAGTTGGTGTTCTGTCACTGAAAGTAAGACACGTTTCAAAGCTTCAAGTTCTGCGTATGTCCCCTACTTTTATTATTCCATGGAAACGTACTCACAGGGGCACATAAGTACCTGGGGTTTATAGGAGAGTGAAGTGACCCAAAATAAAATAGATAAAGGCTTTCCTGTTCCTCCTCCCAAGGATAATTTAAAATCCTCAAATTTTCGTATAAAATACAAGACTATGAAATAAAAGGTAGAAAGTGGAACTTGGCTCAACTAAAAACGCTGAAAAAATACGGGGTTAGTTCTCTGTGTCTCCATTTACCTCATACGTGCTAGACCGTGTGCTAAAGAAACTGGCAACCTAGAGATGCCCATGGCACAGATCATAAGCACAAAAGGCCTGACCCTTTACCCAAAGGACCAGGAGAAAACTGCTGCATCCACTTTCAGCCAAAGCCGTGGGTGTGTGGGAATCAGTCACATGCTACCAGCAGAGGCCAGTGGAGTCTTTCCACCCTTGTAATTACTCTACCTGATCTCCTGCTAGAGTGGTTCCAAGAATGCTGAATACTGACTGAGTCAGGAGCCTAAACTTCCTGCCACCGACTGTAGGGAGTGAGGCTTACAGTTCTGTTACTGAAGACAACTGGAGAGAATCATCTGTCCCAGCCAGACTGTGTTCGCTGAGTCCAGTGGAAACTTGAATTCTCACCTTAATGTTACTGGATACCTAAAGGAGAATTTAGATATTCTTCCTTATCTAGTAATAATAAAATGACCCTCTCTAGTATATAGTCAGAGAGGCCTACTGAAATATTAGATTTAAATCAGACCCATAGTCTCACATCAATAATCAATAAACACAGAACCTGGACAAGGAAGGAATACTGAAGATCAACACAGCTCTAACTTATAGAACATACACATAAAAAAACTTTTGATAGGCAATTGAAAACACACTGGGAACGAAAATGCACATTAGAACTGATTTAAACACAGTATGTGGACAGAGTCACAGTAGGAATAGAAAACAGCAGTGGGTGGACTGGAGCAGGACAAGAGGAAAAAATACCAATAAACTCGAAGAGCAAATAGATACTATGCAAACTGAAAATAAGGATTGTCAGATACCATGACTATGTGGAACACCGCTTCGGGTTCTCGGAGATCCAGAAAGGACAGGAAGGTGGGGCTGAGACTCATGGAGCTGGAATAGTTCCAAAGGTTATAAACAACATATGCCTGTGAATTTTATCTGAGAAACCCCCAAATGGAATAAGTTCTGAAGAAATTTATTCCAAGGTGCATCGAAAACTCATGAAAACTGAGTGAAGAAGACAACAATTGGAGTTGGAGAAAATACAGTCTTTGCTCCTGGACAGCCCACTGTTTCTCACAAGGCCTCCCTGTGACGTCGTGTTTCCTGGAACCTACATTTTTAACAAGCTCCATTAGATAGTTGTCAGGTGGAGGATTCTGAGGCCTGCTGCTGTTCTAACTATGGTGGTAGGTAAAAAGCAAGCAAACAAACAAACCTTCCTTGCCAGAGTACGACCTTGGACTTTCTATTCTTTAACATGCTGGTAGGCATCCAGCAAGAAAAAGAAGCACTGGGGAATTCTGGAGAGAACTCAATAGGACTTCCATTTATGAAAGTATAAACAGAGTTGAGCTACTAATAAGACACTAAAGCAACCTGCAAATATCAAGATGCAGTTTTACTCTTCTTGAGAACGGAAGGTAATCCTGTCACCCACCCAGCAGCAGGAGACAGAAGCCAGCCTTTCTGGAGCCACAGAGTTCAGACATGAGGAAGTCAGGAAGACACCCAAGGCTCGCTTCCTCTGTGTCTTAGATCTGCTGTGGGGTGCCTCACACTGGGAATTCACAGAGAGGAAAGTGTCAAGGAACTGGATGATAGAGTCTCAGGCCACATAGAAGGCAAAGAGTGGGCAGTGGGTTTGGGGGCAAATGAGAATAGCTGGTGCTGTCAAACAAGCTGCAAGAGGTAACCTGTGTCTGGTCTGGGTTAAAATGGCCAAAACATAAGGTGCAAAACACTTCTGTCCAGCCTAAGTAGAGAGTAAAAGTTTTTACTTTTAATTACTTCTAAATAATAAGAACTATAACTCTACAGGCTCCCAAGGCAGAAATAGAGATTAGCCGTGAAAGTCTGTTTTTTGTGTCTTCACTCTAATCTTAATTTGAAAACATGTTGGGCCTTCCTTCTAGGGCTTTTGCTATACAATTATATCTAAAAGGGTTAGGTTCTCTTTTCACATTAATAAGTAATATTTCACATTAATAAGTAGTTTTACCAATTTACATTTAAAATATACACCTTAACAGGTTTTTTTTTAACTGTCTGCCTTCTGTAGTGTGAATGTACTATCACTTGACCTGTGGGTCTTCTGTGACCAGCAGTCAATAACGAACATTCTGTTATGACAGTTGATAAACACTGTGTAATAAAAACCAGGGCAGTAGAAATTCCGTCTTCAGCCAGGTGTGGTATTGTGCCAGCACTTGGGATGCTGAGTTGGGAAATTCTCAACTTGAGGCTACCTGGGGCTTCAAAGTGAGACTTTGTCTCAAAAAAAAAAAAAAATCTACTTCTTCAAAAAAAATTAATTCCACTTTGTTAACTTCTGAAACTGGTATGAGGAGAACATTTGTTTTTAAATCTTACAGGCTGTCTTTGTTCTATTCTTTTGTTGACTTAAAGACCTCCTAGGTTCAGAAATTCTATCCTCATGTATTTTGGCAGCTTGCCATTGTATTAAGTATTTTGCACAATGTTTCTGATTGATTCTATTTCATGATTTTATTGGAAAATCTGTTATGCATTGAAATTTACTTTCTTGTTGTGTTGCATTTTTTATCTGGATTCTAATGAGTTTCCTTGGAATCCTCACTCTGAATTGTTTTTGAAGCATTTCATATATTATGGATTGGCTTCCTTTCGAGTTACTCTATTTCATTTTTCTCAGTCTGTGCATGTGGAAGAAAGTCAAAATTCTATGAAACATCGACAGTAAGAACAATTTTTCACTCTGACATCATTCAGATGGCATATTGAACTCGTTAGGCTAGTTGCTTTTGGGTTTGATCACAGAAGTGAAGGGTAGTCCCTGATTTGTCTTGCAATGATGCCCCTGCTATCAGTGGTCTAGCCCTCTGTGGCTCATTAGGGAGTAACTCCACAGTCTAGCACTGATGGTACTGGATCCTGTGGAGAGGACAGTCACAAAGTACCCCAGAAGGACAGGAGACTCCAAGAGTTGACACCACAGCTGCTGTCTTCAAACCAGAGTATGACGGAGACCTTCCTGTAGTCTCTGAGACCAGAGCACAGTGGAGATCTTCCTGCGGTCTCTGAGAATGAACGCTGAGAGATGCCCCAGTCCATGGCAGCAGCAGCCCAGTTCTGGGGTCACCAGACAGGATGGACAATCCTTGGTAGATAGCACACATTTAAACCAAGTTCTACTTAGCAGTGTTCATATATTTAATACTTAGTTTTCTTTTTAATGTCACTTATGAAACCCCTGAAGTTCAAATGGAGCTAATTTCACCTGTAAGATTTCTAATTGCAGTTCAGTTTTTCAGTCAGTCCAGGAAATTTATTTCATTGTTAAGGACCTCCAAGGCTTGTAGATCATCTTTATCTTAGGTCCAAGGCTGTGGTAGTACTGTCAAAAGATATATTACCCTTGGTCTGGTGAAAGCCGGGCCATCCAAGTCTTTAACAGTAGGTAGAGATTGTTGTGCTATCCAAATCTGTAAATCAGTAAATTTCCCACTATTGTACTGAGCAGTGGCTATCTCCTTTCTCCCGCAGAGAACACCATGGGAATGCCATGCAGCCTTCTGTCAAGGATAATAGTGGCAGCCACGGCTCACCCATCAGTGGGAAATTAGAAGGCATCTTCTTCAGCTGCAGCACTGAGTTCAACACAGGGAAGCCACCCCAGGATTCACCGTATGGAAGATACAGGTTTGAGATTGCAGCAGAAAAACTTTTCAACCCCAATACTAACTTATACTTTGGGGACTTCTACTGTATGTACACTGCTTATCATTATGTGATTCTTGTCATTGCCCCTGTGGGATCACCAGGAGATGAATTCTGTAAGCAGCGCCTTCCTCAACTCAATTCCAAGGATAATAAGTTTCTGACCTGTACGGAAGAAGATGGGGCGCTGGTGTACCACCACGCCCAGGATGTCATTTTAGAAGTCATTTACACTGACCCCGTGGCTCTTTCTCTGGGCACCGTGGCAGAAATCACTGGTCATCAGCTCATGAGTTTGTCTACTGCAAATGCAAAGAAAGACCCCAGCTGCAAAACCTGTAACATCAGTGTTGGACGTTAACGCCACTTTCGTACCCTTCCCTGCCCTGTCTTCCCATAGGAGCATTGCCCTCTGTTGTCCATTTTCATCACCAGATGTCCCACTGAAGCATGCATATGCCGCTGTCACAAAAAGCAAACTACCATTCAGAGCCTTTCTGTGTCTCTTCTGGCCCACCCTGTCCACCACTTCCAAGGATGTCCCCAAGTTGTCCTGACACTTTGTTTGCCTAGATGCTGCAATGCTTTTATGTTTCCTTTATGCCAAACATAACAAGACAGTTATATAGACCGCTTTAGCAAAGTACAAAATAATGGCTTCTAAATGGTGTTTAAATATGCATCCATTTAATCTACTGAATAAATATTGGGATAACTCCAAACCGCATGAAAGGGTGTAATTGCAGCATGAGTTAAATCTTAAAGCCTAGATTGTCAGCACTTCCACCATGTTGTTTGACAGTGTTATTTATGTTATTTATATTAGCTAACAGGAAAGTTACTGTGCTTCAACATAATAAATATAATAGAAAAATATTTTATTTGTATGTTGTATAAAATATTTACAATCATATAGAATATAGATACATTTTAATAGCAATTGTATACATCTCACGAAACCATTTCCCTTATCAAAGATGTAATTTGTAAACCTTAAATAGTTGTGTATCTGTCCTGTTACAAGTAGATGACTTCAATTAAACAAATTTATGAAGGCCGTTACTCTGATTCATCAAAGATTCAAAACATCAGGTGACTACAGAGAAAACAATATGCCTCTGATAGAGTCCGCTTCTGGAATCAGTATCTTTTTCTGCCCGAGCAATATAAAAAAAAATCTGAGTTTCTTCAACACCATGCTTAAAAATACAGAAAACAGAAATAGGAACAAAGTTGAAAGTGAGAAAATGTCTATCTGTTACTTGATCTTACAAAAACCAAACCCAATAAATGTGCTTTAAATGAATGGAGAAAAAGCTAGATCACTAAAAAAAAGCAAATAAAAGGTGTTTTGGTGATTTCCAAGCTTTTGACCCTGTGCAGAATGAGTGCAACTCAAGAAAGTTGTTTCACTTTATAAAGTACAGACCTTGGAACATTAGGAAAGATGCGTATTTCCAATGGAAAAATAGTTATATAATCTTAGTGTAGGAAACAAGAACATTAGCAATAACACTATGGTCACATTGAGTTATTATACTGCAGACACACCTATCCAAAATACCTATTTTAAATTTTTAATATTTTATTTCAATATAAACATTTGTCAGTTATAGACAAAGGTAATTCACAAAGTACATGCCATCCAAATGAACTTTGGTAACCAGAAATGTAAGTGTTCAAATAACAGATCAGATAATGCACTATTTTCATGTAGAAGTAAGAGATTAGTGACACAGTCGGGTGTACTTTAGGGTGTTTAGAACGCCTACAGACATACAGGACAAGGTAGTGGATGTTGTCTCGTTTAAATTACCTTCTTAACAGCTGTTTTTCTCCCTGGATGAAGAGCAGAAGTTTTCCTTGTCTCACAGTTAATTTAAACCCTGTTCTTTTCCATACATCAATGAGGTCAATCTTTGGGCACGAATAAACCTTCCCTAGCAGGTAGTCTGCCTATGTGTGATGTTAGGTTTGACAAGATATTAGATTTTTTTGAGACAATTACATTTGACTGTGGATTTCAGTTTTGTGTGGAGTAGGGTGAATGCTTTTACCGATCCCAATATTACCTACTATTTCCCTATTTAAATCCCTTCTCGTGTATGAGTGCACTAGCTCTTCCTTTGTAAAAACAGCTAATACTATCTCTAAAGTGCTCAGTTTTCAGTACATCAAAACTACTTAGCAAGAACAATAGAGGAAAATAAACTTGACTTTATCTTGGGTGGAACTGATCAGAGCCAAACCTCAAATAGTTTTGGCCACGTCCTGCTTGCTGATGAGGACCTCCAACAGTCTCAGTTTGGCTTTTATGTGCTTGTATTCATAGTACTCATCCGCCATTGGCATCCTGTCTTCCTTCTGTGGACTTCTGCAGAAAAGGAGATACAGTCTATTAGTAGATACATGAGCCAGGTCATTAAAGGTCCTTTCGTAACTGGCAGGGGACTGTAATGTCCATATGGTGCATGCGTGTGTGTGTGTGTGTGTGTGTGTGTGCCTTCTTTACATCCCTTTAGCCTCAATCTCTGCTCCATGTCTTTAAGTAACACTACCCTTTGCCAGTGTGTTGTTGCAAATATGCTGATGAATAGATTTTTATATACACACAATCAGTGAGATTCTCTGTCTCCTTGGATAAGTTAGGAAGCCATGACTTGTGTAAACAGAGACTGAGGACAGCTAAGTACATTGCCTCTTCTCCAAAAGACACTAACATTCCTTACCTGACAAAAAATACAGTTTTGTTGGTAACACTGAAAATTACAGGAAATTAAAGAAGGTATAGTAACCAGCTGGGTGGACACAGAAAAGCATAGGAAGACAGATGGTCCAACTAAATATTTCAGGGAAAGAAAAATAGCTATGAACTTTTGACTAAACCCTGGAATAAAACAGAGATGCATGGTGAAGGTTAGAGGGGACATTAAAGGAAAGCATTCTTCTAATACTTCGAGAATAACTCATGGAATTAAAAATCTAAGAGCAAGGGCTCAAAATCAAGGACATTTTAAGCTTAGTTAATTTTGGTAGTTGGGATGAAGTTCAGACATTAAAGCATTTTCAGAGCTCGGCTGTCATTTTGCAAAGACTGATGTTAACACCTGGCAGCTATTAACATCGACACCCCAGAAAAACATCCCTCACAGTATTACCATGGTGTACTGCATTGTCCAAACACATGGTCTTCAGCTAGGACCGACATCTTATCCCTCTCCTACAAAAGCAGAGTTCATTCTGAACCGTAGTTCTTTAGGAAATACTGGCATAAAAAACTGCCCACACTTACCTTCCTGTCTGTTTGAAAAACTGCTCTTCAAATTCTCGCAGGGCTTTCCGTAGCCTCTTCTTGTCAGCCCTGGTCTCCCGGAGATGGTCAAGAAGGACTGGCCTGTGTCAGGTGAAACACAATTGCCGTTACTGAGCACCAGCCTGGCTGAGTGATCACGGCTGCATTAGATCAGCAAACTGGGCACAGAATGACTAGGGAGTGATCACGGAAGAACATTCCGAGTAAGCGTGGCCCACACTGTAAACGTGGCCTCAGTGCAGACACAGTACATAAGCCTAGTATTCCCTGACATGAACAGGGTCACAGGCACAGAAAAGGACGGTGTACTGCATCTGCTGTGAAAAATGGTGACAGTTACGGTGAGGTAAGAAGATGATAGGACAGAGAAGGCATCCAAGGAATGAATACACACCAATGTTTGCAAAGATAGAGCGACAAGAGGGAAAATATTACGTCCTTAGAGTGAGGGGAGAAGGACAAAGCCCTTGGGAATGAAACGAACCCAGGGAAGGGCTGACACTCCACTGCAGTCTACTTTGTGGTAGAATCCATCCTTTCAGAGACTGAACACTGAAGTTATATACAGGCATTCTCTATAAGTCAAGTCTATCAATTTCAAAAATGCCCCCACCCAGCTAAATTTAGAAATGACTTCTTTACAACGACCACCCAAAGGTTGGAGAGAATGAGAGAAGAAAGAAAGATATATTCTCTTTTCCCAACAAGCTAAATATTGCGTATTGTCCTTGGTTTTACCTCATTTCCATTTGGGACACACATATAAGCATGTTAAAGAAGACCTCATAGTGTGGGATGTTACATACAAACCAAAAAGGCCACAAGGTCAAAACATATGCCAACCACTGGATAACAGGAATAGTGAGGCAAGTCCAGACATCTCCTGACTGAGACAACAAAAGCCCCACTCACTGACTGGTGGCCAAGGCCATTCCCCATCTGCAACACTATGTCTTCTGAATGTAATAAGAAAAGAAAAGGAAGAAAAGAAGGGCTCTGGACACTGTTGACCCACAAAGGATCTTACTCCTTTGGGTCCAATATTCAAAGACCAGATCTCCTTTGACATGGCAAAGGGTTACAAGGGTTACTAGTGCCAAGACACAACAGAAAAGTAGGATCAAAGTAATTGCACATCAATACTTATGGCATGTGTAGGGCTTTCCTGTGGCTCTTTACAGCTCTGCCTTCTGTAGTTTCCAGTTAAGGCACTTTCAGTTCTATTCTCTGCGGGAGAGCACAGTTTAGTCCCTGAACAGATGTTGAATTGTTAATGTGCAGGCAAGGTACCCACGCCAGGGGTTTTGAGAGGCCACGTCCAGGCTGCTCACTCACATAGTGGCCTCGTGTAAGTTGGACATGGAGAGAGCTGGTTGCTTCCCTTCTTTCTTTTCATCTGGTAGGAGGGTCCTCATAGGCTCTGTCTCAGAGTAGGTGAGGTGATCACCAACAGGAAGGCGGGACACTGGATCTGGTAAAGAAGGTTGCTGGCTTCTCTGTGGACAGTCCTCATCGGAGTCCTCTTCCTCCTGCTTGTCACAAGCAGAGTCAAATAGTCACAGAGTGTTACACATCTCTTGAGCATTTAAGAGGACTGCAAGACCCTACAAGCCAGTAGACAAGCCTGCAAGCCAGCAGCCCATAAGGCTGCTAAGAACTGGAATAGAAACGACCAAGAGCCCTTGCTCATTTTTGTTAACAACCTGTGGAGCAAAGAGGTATCCATGCTGAGCTACAGTGCTTCCCAAGTTTGTCTATATTTGCTGGTCCAAGGAAGACAGACAGGCATTCGGGATACGGCCCAGGTTGCACTGTGTAGTCAAGTGGGTCCTCCCTTCCCCAGACCTCCTGCACTCCAGCTTCACAGCAGAAATACAGGCTAAAGCAAGATGCACTGTAGACACCTTATCCAAAAATTGTTCCCTCGGACCCAGAGTCCTCGGACCCACAGTCAATACAGAGGATGGTAAGGATGCTCAAGTTTAGAGAGGCCCCTTAGACGGCCAAAGAAGCTATAAGTTACTCTTTAACCTTTCTGATAATTTGACAGCAAAAAAAAAAAAAAAAAAAAGGTTTTCTTGAAATGTAAGAATCATATTCCCCTTTAAACTATTCTTCCTCCTCAAAGGGAACATTTTAGACAGAATTTATCATTCTCCTAACATCCTTTAAAATACAGAATTATAAACATACTTAAGTAGATTCAAATTCATATCCATTTACTTAAATTCATATTTGCTGCTTTTTATACTGATATCTTGAGTAGCTGTTTTGAAACCGACGCAGTGGATGTGTGGTGCTTCTATCTGCCTATAAATTTATTTTTTAAAAATAGCCTCAGTTTCAGTACTTCTACTTATTGAGATAAATTTGCTTATATCTAGTATAGTGTGATCAGATAGAACCAAAAGAACGTCTCCGTATTTCAAAGAATGCACTGCCAGTTTTGTTAACCGCCACACACAGAACGGAGACATTCTGTCTTGCCTAGCTATGTTAAAGATTAATAGTGCCGCCCTGAAACCCATTGTGTTTTTCTGCTCTCCCAAAAGGAAGGCAAAGAAATGGAATTATGTTCAGAGTGGCCCCACGCATGCAAGTTTGGTATGCTCTAGTTCATAGCAGTTCCTGCTAGATCATTGTTAAGCACAGTACTGGGTTAGGGAAGATGACAGAAGCTTGTGGGGTCATAGTATCCACAGCTAGGGAGGCCACTTGGTAACATTTGTGCTGCTAGGACCCAGTGCTAAGCAGCATAGGTGCAAGGTGCCAACCAAGGTTTCCAAATCGTGCAGCCACCTTTACTTACAATCGTTGGGATCAGGGACGGTGTTGACAAGATTTGCTTGATAATCCTGCATCGGTCATACAGAGGCTTTATGAGGTTCTTGTCTTGCTTAGTTACCTGAAAAACATAAACTTAATCTGTATTCTTTTATCGGTCAATAGTCTCCCTGCACCCACCACGTGTTGGGGATCCATCCCAGAACCTGTACAAGCTAGATAAGCACTCTACCACCGAGCTATAGTCCTTTCCCTAAGACAACATTCCAGCAGCTCTCCCCTAACCCCAAAAGTCAGGTTTTGAAACCCCAGAGCATCCCAATGCTTAAACAGCAATGAGTAAAAAGGAAGTCATATTTTGGGGGAGGGGGATTAGGAAAAAATCCCATAAAAATGGGGTGAGTATAGAAAAATGGGCCATAAGGTTTTGTGAACAAGTCTGCAAAACATGAGCAATGGGTTAAAGGTGAAAACCAAGACCGATCACTTTTTCTTCCAAACATCTATGCTATGTGAACGTTTGTGGTTACATTCACAAATACCAGCTATGTGCAGGCCTCCATTATTACACACCAAGGATGGATACTGTCTTACTAGTTAGTTCTCACAAAAACTTTAGTGAATTGAGATAAAACAATTTGAATCCTGGGTTTCCTACCCACACAACAAAGGGGTTAGAGTTTTAGAGTTCCTTCCACGCTGCTCCAAAGACAGACAGGTATTTTTAATTGGCTCACACCTCAACAATGCCAAACCTCTTAGTGTACCAATGCCTTCTGTGCCCATCTGCTGCAGGACCCAGCCCTACACACCACGGGAGCAGGTCACGGTTCACATAAAAATTCAATGTCTCTCTCTACTGCTTATCCACATATCTATCCAAAGCGGCCAAACCCATTTCCTTCCTAGTCCCCCAAGCCCCGCTCCATATATACATATACATATACTGTCCCATGCATTAATCTGCTATATACCCATTACGTACAGCTGTCCCTCTAGTTTTAGACAATGGTTGATACTCATCAGGGCAGGGGACGGGAGGGGAAAATTCACCACTGTCACCCATGGGTCTTTTATGGAAGTTACACACGACAACAGGCTAAATAGCTCTTCCTTCCAGATCTTCCTGAGACTTGAGACAAAATAGCTCCCCGGTGACACTTTTTGATGTTCCATACCCATGGAAGCTACAAGCCACATTGATCCATGCTGATCTTCCTTTTCTATGAACCTTCCTATTCCGCTATCTGGACCTTAACTTTTCTTTGTTATTCTCACCTGCCAAATGAAAACTTACTGAGGCCCAAGATACCACTACATATTTAGCTTCTCACCATTATCTGCCACAACCCTATCCTGATTGTTAAGTGAAAAGAACTCTACTTATTAGTACTCTCTCTGTGTCTCTGTCTCTGTCTCTGTCTCTCTCTCTCTCTTTCTGCTTTGCTTTTCAAGACAGGGTTTCTCTGTGTAACAACTTTGGCTGTCCTGGAATTCACTTTATAGACCAGGCTGGTCTCAACCTCACAGAGATCCACCTTCCCCTGACTCCTGAGTGCTGGGATTAAAGGCCTGTGCCACCATTGCCTATCTATATAGTATTATGCTATATGAATTTATACACAAACCCCAGACTGTAACCTAAGACTCATTGGTATTTTCAAGAGAAAGATAATTTGCTGCAAAGGCCTTTTAGTTTTGGTTCATAACCTTAAGGGCCTTTAATTTTCTAGTCAAATTCACTCTTTAAACATTTTCTTAACATCTTTAGACACAAACGTACACACGCACGTGCATTTGCCAATATGTAATCCATAGGATTTTACTACATTTTAAGAGGAAAGATATAAATATAAGTTCAAAAAACATTAAAATATTATTTCCCTTCAGTACCTCACTGGGATGTATATTCAATAAAAAGCACTGACAAAACAATGTACTTTAACACTGGTCTCTTTTGAAATTTGATTGTGTTTTTTTCTACCTACTATATTCCCCAGACTCTAAGAGAATCCCAGAAGGGAAAAACAATCAGGACATCTGCTTCCAAATTCTATCTTCTAGATAAAAGGTGGAAGCTGAACCCAGGAAGTCTCAACAATATGGCTGCCTAAACAAGACCTGGGCAGTGACGACACTTGTTGATAGGCCAGCATGGATGAGGGGAATCTCATATGGCTCCACCCCAAGATAGAGCTACAGGCGATTAACAAATATTGAGGGAGAATTAGTCTGCTCCCGGGACGGGCCCCCAAATTGGCCAAGTGGTCGACCCTAAAAACATGCATATAAGCAACACTAAATGGACTTGGCATAAGGTGTGTGTGTGTGTGTGTGTGTGTGTGTGTGTGTGTGTTAACTAAGGAAAAGGAGATCATGAGTTTCAGAGGGAGCAGGAGAGAGGCAGGGACATCGTGGGAGGAACTGAGATTGGGGGAGATAATGAGGTGACTATTTTCATAAAAAATAAACTGTTTTAAATACACAAATGCAAAGAAACCTTGAAAAACGAAAATCATCAAGAATGAGAACGCTGCTTTAGAAAATGATCCGCCCCAGATCCTAGATGAAAACCGCAGTGCGCGTACCATCAACTCAGGTCCTCTTAATGCTAGTGCTCTTACTCCTGGATCATTATTGATTAGTCCCCAAAGAGAAACGGGCATGTGATGCCAGCCCACACGTGGGCCTCAGACACACATGGAGAAATGTTGAAGGCCCTTGATTCCTACAACTAAAAACATTATCGCTTCCTGTCCCTCCCTATCCAGAGAGGGAAATGTCAGTGTTTCACTTATCTCCTTGAGAGAAAGCTCATTTGTGGGGATGAAGGGGGGGAGGGGAAATGATTGTATTTCAAGTTGCTGTGCTTTCCTGAGAAAGAGGCCAGGACAGCTGTTCCGTGGGGAAAGAAGCAAACAGATGGATAAATCTGCTCGAGTTTTCTTAAATAACCTCCTGACCAGGGTCAGAGAGAAAACATCTCTTTGTGACAGTTTGAAATGCCAACTTCTCAGGATGCAATGCCACCCCTAAGGATGGGAGCCACATAGGAAGTAAAGAATTTTTAGCATGGCAGAGAGAGCTAGCTGCCAACACATCCGACCAAATTATGTTTGTTCGAGTTCACTTCCTTAACTTCCTCCTCCATTTAACTGAAAAGGGAGGGAGGGATAAACCTTTGGGGTTTATCTGCATACTGACCTGGACAGCAATGCTCATCACCCTTGACAGCTCTCTCTAACTCCTTTATATGGACAACAGTAACTAACAGTAAGCCATATTTTACTCAATGTAATTCCTTTAGTATGTAACTAAAATCAAATGAGAGCATATTTTTGGAGTACAGGTAGCCAGCAACATGCAGAAGTAGAAACAGAAAATAGGTTTGTTTCCAGTGATTAGCAAAAATTCTAACGGGGGAAGAGAAGAAAATGGCTGAGTGACAATATCTGAACTAACCAGGCTATGCTGCAGGGATTCCCATCTTCAGTATGAGCTCTGACTATAACACCAAGGCAACAAATTCCCCTGAAGTCTGGGAGGAGGGGAGAATCACTCGCCACAGAAATTTGAATAGTTAATGTGGTTTGGGTGTATGGCAAGACCAGAAGAAAGTTATCTGTCCACTCAAGCTTTAAGAACCTGCACTTGGCAAGATGAGCTGGCATGCCACGGGTTGTTGAGGAAGTAGGGAACTGGCTAGATGTCCTTTAGTTCCACCGTGGTCTCTGAACTCATTGTTGGTAACCACCCTATACCACCCTATGCCTCCCTCTGGTTACACTTCTCTGGAGCAGTGCCGGAATATGGTATCAAAGCCTGCACATCCCACTACAGACAGCCCCCATCTAAAAGGCCCCGGCTCTATTGTAGAGCTCTTAGGTCTGTTCGTAGTGGCTTCTGACACTCACTAAGCCATTCAATAGATATTTTGCTTAAAGTAAAAGAATTTTGCCATTTTTATGCAAGGATGACTTCTAAACACTCAGGTAGGTCATGACCCATGTGGTAAACCTCCATCTCCAAAAATATTGACACTATGGTTCATAACAAAATTAGTAGCAAAATTAGTGCTGAAGTAGCAATGAAAATAAGGTGGTGGTTGGGTGGGCTGCCACAGCATGAGAACTATATTAAAGGGTTGAAGCAGGAGGAAGGTTGAGACATAACTTCTCTATCTTGATTCACCTGAACTCATAGAACCATCATTTAGATCTTTTTGGAAATGTGTGACTGTCCGTCAATCATCTACTACTATGGTTTGGATATAAAATGTCCCTCCAAAAAGGCTCCTGTGTTGTGTCTTGGTTCCCAGCCAGTGGCTCTGTTGAGAGGTGACTGACTGGATCATGAGGGTAATGGCCTCATCAGTGGATTAATCCACTGATGAATTAATAGCCGAGTAGACTATTCGGAGGTAAGTATAGTCAGAGGATGTTGATGAATCAACCATTGGGATGCTGACAACGGACCAAGATGTTTCTATAGATATGGACAAGATAACTATAAAATACAACCAAGTCTCTTGGAAATACTAATGGCTGGGAAACCTCAGTGTGTACATGTTCACAGAAGTTATCCACTGGCTATCGTCAAAGTCTAGAATGTTGGGGGGCAGGATGGACATATGGGGAGCACAACATACCAGCCAATGACACAACCACCACTGACTTCCCTTTATGACTCAGAACACATTGGTTCTTTTTCACATGTAAGGGTGAAAGGATGATGGAGGTGACTCTGGTCCTATGTGTGCTTGCAGAACACTAGTCCCAGAGTGAAACACTAACAAGGGACATATAGGCCTTCTGAGAGCTTATTAAGACCAGGTCATGTATGGCAGAATAGGGAAAGTGATCATACTTCTCAGTAAGATTTCCTTCCAGAGTCAAATGTCATCCATTTGTTCGTTGGGACATTCACTCAGCAGACGTACATACAGTACCCATTATGGATAGACACCATGATGCTATGAACAATTGATAGTCCTTCTGTGCAAGAAATGTGATGGATTGAGGCAGGAAATAATCTAATTTAGAGGTGACAAGGTGACTGCCGCTCTTACACAGGAAGCAAAGCTCAACCACGTGAGCCTCAGCTTTGATAGGGAAGGGACTCAAGAAAGCTCCCTTGGCCTAAGTGAAATGGAAGCACAGATAAGCAACAAGAGGAGGGATTACCAGGGTAAGTTCTGCTTTTCTTTATAAAATGTAATCTTTCCGGCTAAGCCCCAGGCTTATGTAGCCTAATACCTAACTGACAACTCTATCCAGCTGTCTCCAATTTCAAAACCAAGATGCCTAAAGCTGAAATCTTTAGTCCCAAGATCTATCACTCCCTAGGAACCACAGTTCTCTTCTTAAGACATGAAACCCTGACTTTATGCCTCGCCTTTCTTTATCACACTCCAACATATGGGAAAGGGCCTACCCTGGTGCTTTTCTTTACTGGTAATACAATTATACCCTGGACTTGGGTTTATTTCCTTCTTTGGTGGAGCCCAGAATGCCTCCTCCCATCTTTACCACCTTCCACCAGCACACACCTCCTCCAGAAGCAGCACATCCTAGAATCACACTGCTACATCCTAAGTCACAGCCAGCCATTAACCCTAGGAGCTCAACAGTCTCCTAACGGTGTGACAATGGCGGGGAAGTCCTACTCTGTCAGATGGCCAACACCACGCCCTCGCCGCCACCACCCCTGTGCCGACGTGGTAAGGTACCTTCACGTCATCCTGGGGAGGAGTCTGGTCTCTCCTCTCCATCACCACAGCGTCTGACGTCTCCTCTCCAGAGGAGCTTGGCTCAGGACCCACAGCTTCCAACTTGCCATTCTCTCTGGGCACTGAAGGCTGTTCACAGGGTGGGTTTCTCCGGGGGCTTTTGGGGGTACTCCCTTGTTCTTCTGACAGCTTCAGCTTTAGTTCTACGAGAAATGCCTTGGGTTACCACCAGCAGGAAGGACTCACTGGTCCAATTTAAAACAGAGCTTCTCAGGAATTTCCGCCCAAGGCAGGAGCAATGCTAATGATGACTTCCAGCTGGCGAAGTCAGCCGTAACCATGACCAGTGTATCATAAGCACTCAATCGGCCATGCAGACAGAGCCCTAGAGGCTGGGCTCCCCTGGGGTGAAGGACCTTGAGACAAGAACTCGGGTTTGGACTGCAGCAGACATCGGGAGGAAGACATGGCTCCCTGATTTCCACTCTTGCCCACTGTAGCACCTGAAATTCTATGCGTAGTAGTTTGTGGGTACACATGGTAAAAGCTGTGTATGTAATAAGACTTCTGGAAATGCAGGTGCTTACGTCATGCATGACATACAAAGACCTGAGAAAGCAGAAGAGATGAGGGGCATTGGGAATTCCAGCCCCAATTTGATACACTTCACATTCTTGTCTAATGCTTTTTACCCAGAGATTTAATGTGTGTGTGTGTGTGTGTGTGTGTGTGTTCTGCTATGTGAGGGCAAGGGTCCACAGAGGCCAGAAGGTGACCTCAGAAGTCCCACGAGCTAAAACTGGGTGGCGTCACAATCAGTGCGTAGGTACTAACAACTAAACTGGGGTCTCCTGGAAGAGAAGTAAGCACTCTTAAAACCCGGGACAACTTTCCAGCTCCTAATGTTAGCTTTCAAAATCCAGAGCCCATCTCTTTAACAACATGGCTTTATGCAACCCTAGACAATTAAAAATAAAAATAAAAATAATCTTGGACCTACCATGGAATTGCATTTCAGAACATTACATGGGAAGAGGAAGTCAAATAAGACCATTTATATTGATTTCTAATTATATAATAAAGCTCATTTTCTTTATTTAAAATAGTTTTGTTCTCTGGCTTTGGGTTTTATTTATGTTGTTGTTTGACTCAGTGTCTAACTGTAGTCTATGCTTGCCTGCAAGTTACTATGTAGCCTCTGCCTCAACTTACCAGATACTGAAATAACAGGCATGAGCTTCCACACCAAGTTCTAGCTTGGAGTTTAAACGCTGTGTGTTTTTATAAACACACTACATCATTACAGTTAAATACCATAATTTATTATTCCTTTCCAGTTCTTAATCATGAAACGTCCAGAAATTTGGACCAATGCCCATATATCTAAGTACTGACTTACAGAACAAAAGGAGAAAGAAAATACCTTGTATGAGTGGACAGTGACTGTCCTCAGCATTCATAATACATCATCATCCCAAAAGGGACAAAGGAAGAAGAGGAATAGATGCAGAGCCAGGGAGGCAGGCAAGTCGTCTGCCTGGCTCAATACCTCCAAGTCATAGGACTTTCCCTCCGGGCTTAGCAGGGTCACCTAGGCAGTGCAACTGTGATTGGATGACTTCTTAGGCAACTTCTGCTTCCCACAATCTAGTAACCAGGGAGGTTAGAGCCCCACAGATTGGCTGGGGGTCCCAGGTCTCTCTTGTAAGAGGTTTATTAAGAGGGCCTGAATGATGTTTGGATCCAGGGGCCGTCATCTCAGCTAGAGCCCCAGATGAAGCAGGGAACCAAAGCTCAGGAAGGCCCAGGTGGAAGTGGCTCGCAATGGCCCCGGACTTTATGCTGTGATGACCGGTGGCTGTCTGAGGGAAGAGACACTCACCTTTGAGCTGCTTCCGTCCTCTAGCCAAGTCATTCATCCACTTCAGGACCTCGGGATTCGAAGTCTTGTCTCCGTGTGAGGGCTGCGGGAGGGAAATCCGAAGAGAAGGGGAGTGGTGGTGTTGGGGGGGGGGGNAGTGAAGGAGGGGCGATGGAGGGAGAGGGTGAAAGTGAGGGGGAAAGGAGAGAAAGGAGAAACAGAAGAGGGGGGAAAAGGAAGCCAAAGTGTTAAGCAGCTGCGGCACACGATAACTCGGAGACACGCTGCGGTGGGAGGGGCACGGGGCACGGGGCACGGGGCACGGTGCCAGTGCATGAAACTCTTCCTTCTCTCCTGTCACTCCTCCATGGGCATTATTCTGAAGCATGCCAAGGCACCCAGCATTTCACACATCCTAACCATGCCAGCGCACCCACTGTCCATCCCCTATCACCTCCTAAGGCCACCATAGCCCTTAAGTCACTTCCAGGCCAGACTCTTTGCCTATGGAGATGAACAGTGGCAGTACAGAAATGAATGCTTTCTACTTGGCATGTGGCTCAGGACTGGACCCTCTTAGAAAATACTAACCAATCAGAAGGCTGAGAACTCACCAGTCATGTCCTCAAAGCTCAAGAAAGCAGACCCCCATGGTCTCTGAAGCTTGATAATTGTCCTGAAAGCCAGTCTTACCAGAGAACAGACAGACCTACTTCTAAGCACTGTTTAGACTTCAAGAGCCACTCAACCAGCATTAAAGTGAAACTTAATCATGCAGGTGACGTTGGGCAGATTCTTCAGCTCCTCTGTGCTCTATGGTCTCACATATTAAATATTTGAGGATTGCAGCATCTCCCTCACAGACTTCCTGCATGGGGATCAATATCTACAAAGACCCGTGAACACCTGCAGGTGCACACTGGGCAACACAGAAGCTGCTAGCTCAGACCACAAGTCACTGTCACTAGCTTGGCCTCACTAGCAGCAGACAGTGGTGGCAGTAATATTTCTACCAGGCCTTCAGAGGAGTTCTGAATGTGTCTTCACTGACAAACACATGGAGACTCCGCCAAGCAGATCATTCACTCCTGAATTTCTTGTCAGAGCACAAAGGTGGACTTCCCTCAAAAAGAGAAATCAGTAGCTAAAGGTGGCTCAACACCCTTACCCTCTATGCCACAGATCAGAGTGAGCATCTTTCAGTCAAAGTTACCATGCCAACTTAAAAGCGGGCTGAAGATGGTTTACCCCATCCCCACACACCTGAGACTACACAAGGAACCTGGCTCTGATTCTTGGGTGCCTCCTGCACGTTGGTAACAGGCGAAGTGCCTGCCCTGTCAGCAGCCGGTCCCTGAAGACCCGCTTCACCCAAGTGAGATGAGCAAGTCTTCAGTGACAGGCACGGGATGATGGAAATTACGTTCAATGTCAAAGGCGCGAACAGTGCTCGCGTGACAGCATTAGATATTGCATGAATGCTGTGTTCGCTGTGAGAGTGTGGAATAATTCAGTCACTGATGGGGTGACACAGAAACCCACATCTGAAAATCAAGGTGAAAAGGAAGACTGAAGGAAAATCACAAGGATGCTTTTCCTCAGAAGAGGACGGACGGGGTACTACAACTTCCATGGTGGAGCCCTGAACTGTCAGAACCATGGATAGCGACACATCCCCCCCCCCCCCAAGCCCTCCCTCTGTAAAATAAATAAATAGGGTTTAGCGTTTAGCGTAGCCCCACCTAGGGTCTCCAGAAGGAAGCACTGTGTTAGAACCCTGATAATGTAGTCTAGTACTTTGGGCTTAGTTGTCTTGCTATATTGACAGCCTAAGTTTTACATTTGGTCTCTTGGAACCCTCAGAGGACTCTCTATTCTAAGAACATATCTATGCAGGTAAGCGATATTTCACTGGGGCTACCCCGTACACAGCCAAAGGAATATAGAAAATACACAAAACGCACCAGGGTCTTAAGTCAGTGACCAACAGAACAGTAAGGTTTTCAACACCCTCAGGATGAAGGAGGAATTGGAGACTGAATTTTAGGGCAAAGTACTTGAAAGCCTGAAATCAGTTGCAAAACTGAATTTTCTTCTTAGTTTTCTGCCCTTAGGGAAGCTTCCTTAAGGCTAACTTCAACTTGTGTAGAAGATGGCTCCCAAATCACAGACGTTCCCACACACTCACAGTAGCTTGTCAGATTTCTTTGCGACTGGATAGAAATGTCTAGTGGGCCCCAAAGGTCAGACACTTAGGGATGATTAAGAGGAAGTAGCCAGATACATTATTGCCGAAACTATTGTAGTAGATTCGTACTAAGTCCAAAATGGTTCACAAGACTCTTGAGAAGGACTCCTGACTGGCAATGAAAAGACCTTGGTTGTCCTAACTAGTATCTTCGCTATGTGACTCTTAGAGTTCAGTTCACCTCTCTGGGCTGTTTCTCCAGTCATTGGCTAAGACAAAGTTCAACTTGCTTTGTCCAGTTTTAACACATTCTACTGAAAGTGGACATTTGGATGAACTAGCCCTTTCTAGCCAGGTCCTCATTTGGCAGAGATGGAAAGACCTGTGTATCGGTGGACATCAGAGAAACCAAGAAGCCCAGCAGGAGCTGAGATTCAGAAGTCGCCATAGGAGGATGTTAATACCACAGTCCAATTGATGGGAAGGAAAGCAGGCCTTCCACAGGGCAATTAATTGGCTTGCCAGACCTCTAACCACAGTCTGGACCCTGGCAAACAAGAGGAGTGAGGGGATGCCCTGTTTCCTCATTTCCTAGGATACGTTAAGATGCCGACTTAAGAGGTCAACACTGATAGAGCAATGAGAACTACCTCAACTGATGCTCTAGCTTCTAAATCAGTGGTCCTCACCCTTCCTAACACTGTGACCCTTTAATACGGTTCCTCATGTTGTGGTGACCCCCAGTCATAAAATTATTTTCATTGCTACTTCATAACTGTCATTTTGCTACTATTATGAACCATAATGTAAAATATCTGTGTTTTCTGATGGTCTTAGGCGAACCCTGTGAAAGGATCATTTGACAACCTGCCTGAAGGTTGCTGCCCACAGGTTGAGAACCCTCCGCTCACACACATGTTGGAGTACACATAAGCATATGCATATGATGGTGGGTGTGCACATGTGTGCATATCTGTACATGCATGTGTGTGTGGTGTGAGTGTGAATTATGTGGTGTGATTGTGTGTGTGTGTGCCAGGGTAAGTGTGTGGTGTGTGAGTATATGGGGGGATGAGTTTGCATGTGGTGTGTATGCAGGCATGTGCTGGTGTGTGTGTGTGTGCCAGGGTAAGTGTGTAGTGTGGTGTGTGGGGGGGGGGGGGATATGTGAGTGTGCCAGGGTAAGTGTGTAGTGTGGTGTGTGTGTGTGTGTGTGTGTGTGTGTATGACTGCCTCCTCTCTTGGTTTTAAAGCTTCTCCAGAGAGAGTGAAGGATATCAGAAGAAATTCTCTAACAAAACAGGCAACTGCTGATGACTGTAACAGTTGAGAAAATTAAGCCAGGTGCACAGCTCAGTACAGATTAAATGTGCACAAGCCCTTTCCCTTCCTTCCAAGACAGGGCCTGTCATGTAGCCTGCTTGGTATGGTTCACACACACCGAGAGACTGGTGACACCAACGACCTTCGCTCTCTCTATGGCAAACAGTGTCACACAGGTTCCTCCTGCAGGGTTTGTTTCTGAGTGTCCACGGTGGTAGCAATGACAGGTCTGTCAAACTCCCGCAGATCAAAGGCAGAATGAGCTCCTCCCAGAATATTGGGACTATCAAAGATGGACACTAAGAATCCAACGACACTACCCGAGCCTGCTCATCAAAGACTTCCTGCTCCAAACCTCAAGGAATAACTCACAGCTAGTTAGAAGTCTTCAGTGGGCCTGGGCTTATTCATCTACAAAATAAGAGCTGAGAAAACAGAGACATCCCTCGCATGGACAGAGAGGAGCCATGACTGCCGAATGAAGAGAAGCATCTGTAACATCCGTAGACAGTCTTGAAAGTCAATCCGATTGCATTTCTCCACTTCTTAAAACTCTACTCTCTGAGATGCCACAGCCACGCAGGACAGGAAGGGAAAGGGGGCATCACCCACTCACCACTGTCCCCCAGGACTTATCACAAACTCACAGGAACCTTCCAATTGTGTCTGTTCTGAGAGCTTATTGGGCCTTTAAACATTTCAAGATGTCTGAGAGATTGTTCCCTGCTCTAGTTTACTCTAATAACTAGTGGCTCGGGGCTGCCTGCCAGAGACCCACCAGCTTTGTGCAAGTCTCTGTGGAACTGAATTTTCTCCACCCCATGGTCACGAAGAGAGAAAATAAATATAAGCAACACTTGTCAAGTTGACCCTGGTCTGTAGCTCTATGGTTTCATGTATGAGAAAAGACGAAGCTGTGCTGGCAACTCTGCCAACCCAGCAGAAGGACAGAGGCCTGCTGGGAAAAGAGGGGTCTGCTTGTTCTCATGTGTGACCTGAGCAGGTGCCACCTGAGAAGTGATCACTCATCCACCAGGGCAGGGTGTTCTTTCATGGCAAAAAAAGAAAAAAAAAAAAAAAAAAACAAGATAAAAAAAAAACTGTGTCTCCCATCATTATGTTCTGAAATTAAGGAGTTTCTGCATGTTGGGTCCTTAAGTCCTTATCAGCACACAGGTAAAGTTCAACACTCAGAAGGTTTCAAAACCTAGTGTCTATAAGGATGCTCAGAAAGACTGGGGAAATGAATAATCAAAAGGTTTAAAAGTAAGAGTTGTAGTGAGTTGGATGTATGGAGCAGAGGTCAGTTTCCTACATGTGAGAAAGAGACAGACTAGCCATTAAGCTTAGCTAATGATGGGGTAGGGGGACGGGTGGCCAGTGGGTACAGAGCTGTCCCCCAGCAAGGAGTAGAAGCCAAAGCCAAGGGATGGAGACCCAAGAAAACACACACACACTTGTCTGACACGATCTTCGCTTTCATTAAACCCTGCGGTACTTACCCGATACTTCTTCTCTTGCTCAAATTTTTCTTCAAACTTCCGAATCTTCCTCTTGAGGCTCTGGATCTGCTTCGTGAGCTGTGTAATGGTCTGGGGCTCCTTGCCATCCCCACCACTGCACCGAGAAGAGCTTCGTGGCCTGCATGGTTACAGACAAAGAATATTTCCAGCAGGGGGCTTCCGTAAACATTGCTGCCTAAACTTTGAAGCCAGGAGATGAGAGAATTCCTGAGAGCAGCTCCTTCTGTGACTAGTCTACCAGGAGCTCCCACTCATCCCTTGTGACCTCTGACCACAGCACTTCATTGTGGGCCAGTATCCTTGGGGACTTTTCATATACACAAATGTCAAAATATCGGCAGATGAAATACATTTCTCAAAGCATAGTTAAGGTCAACTTGGGACTCAGACAGCCCAGCTGAGGCTCCTCTTCAACAGCTTGTACAGTCACACCCAATGGCATTTTCAAGCAAGATTTAAATGTGTGGTTAACTAACTATCCTGGCTTAAGAAGAAACCTTTTCAAATGTGTCAAAAGGAATGACCCTCACTCCAGGAAATATTTCCAGGGTCTCACATGACACACAGTTCCCATGCAACTATAATGGCTCATTCAGTCCCTCAGAGCCATCATACATGATCCATCCTATAGGGGCCCAGATGGGATAAACTCAAGAATAGTAGACGTTTTGGAGGAAAAATTAGGGACCTTGAAAGAGAGCAAACTTTAGCCAAGGGAGTCTCCCTTTTAATTACACATCAAAAGTATTTCTGCAAGCTAAAAATGAACACCACATAGTTCCTAGAACTTTCTCCAATCTCAAATGCAAAGGACCATTGCAGAGTGTGTGTGGCCCCCACTTCTGATGCACAAGGAGATGCTGTTAAAATGACCAATGTGGGGGGCACATCTGACACACAGGAAGAAACTGATGAATGACTGAAGTGAGCTGGGTCCAGGAACCACATCTTACAATAACTGATAAAAGACCGGTGTAAGGTGGGGGCAGATCTGACGTATAGATACTGCTATATCTGGTTGCCCATTCAATCTGGGGAGGAATACTTTTCTAGAACCTAACAAGGAGCTGAAGGGGGAACTTTCTAATCTACACTCCATCCACTGCTGGACGTGGGAAGCACACTGGGCTAGTTAAAAACGACACTCTAGAGCTGGGCGGTGGTGGTGCACGTCTTTAATCCCAGCACCCGGGAGGCAGAGAAAGGTGGATCTCTGTGCGTTCAAGGCCAGCCTGGTCTACAAGACCTAGTTCCAGGACAGGCACCAAAACTAGAGAAATCCTGCCTCAAAAAACAAACAAAAACAAAAGGAAGGAAGGAAGGAAGGAAGGAAGGAAGGAAGGAAGGAAGGAAGGAAGGAAGAAAGAAAGAAAGAAAGAAAGAAAGAAAGAAAGAAAGAAAGAAAGAAAAGAAAAGAAAAGAAAAACACTCTAGATGTTTGCATAGACACACACTTCTCAATCTACCCAAAACATCCATAGGTATCTCATAGCCTTTTCTTCCTGAAACCTATGTCAGTACAGAGATGGTATTCCCAACTGAAGAGGGAGAACCCTGCTTTATCACAGGATCTCATGGCTGTATTCCACATCTGCCCTATTTTGGAGCCAAATCTCACTGAGTTTTATGAATGTCTTTGGAAAACTTCATGCAATAAAGACAGTCAAAGTGGGCTTTCTTACATCATAAATTGCTGGCTGCTGGGTGGAGACGGGGCTGACTCGGGGTCCAGGTTGAACCTCTGACTTTGGCTAAAGATGGAGCACCGCGGTGACAGCAGCGGGTTATCACCGTCGGTGATATGATAGAGCAGCCTGCTGGTGCCTGTTGACTGGAGGTCTTCGGGTGGACCATCGGCGTCACTCTGTGCATCTTTATGAGTTGCCATGGGGTCTGGGGAAACAAGATGAGAGATCAAGACAAAAGTGACAGAGAGCCTTAGGCTGTCACGTTCCTAAATAAAGATGATAACATCAGTGATAACGGTGTGTATCTGCCATGGCTCCATTCTGGAGCTATAAAAATCTTTCAAAACACTGTTGCGTTTGTTTCCACAAAAGCTGGATAGAAAATAGTACAAGGCCACCAACAAGGATGTTGGAAGACTATTTCAGAATGGGTTATCCAAGCGAGCACCACGCAAAGATCTCATTTCCTATCATTTGCATGAGTCAGAGGGGACACTGAAAAAGCTGACTGAATAAGATAGAATTTGGACAAAAGATACAGATTGTGTGGAAAAGGAGGGCTAACAGAATTATTTGTCAGGACAGGAGTGGAGGGGAGGAAGTAGGAAGAGAGGAAGGAAAGAGAGAAAGAGGGATGAGGAGTCAGTCTCTAAAATGAGGACTTAACCAACATGCACGATGCACAGAATTTGCCCAACAGAAACCACAGAGTTCAGAACACAGTAGCAATGCCCCTGGGCCAGCAAGATGGATGAGTGGGTAAACACTAAGCCTGAATGAGCTGTGTTCAATCACTGGGACCCACATGATTGAAGAAGAAAACCAACTCCAACAAGCTATTCTCTAATCTCACACATATATGGACGACATTATCTGCACACACACACACAGATATGCACAGTAAAATAAAATCTAAAAACAAGGAGAAGGAGAGGAGGAGGACAATAATGGGAAGGAGGGAGGGCAGGAAGGAGGGAGGGAGGGAAAGAGGGAGGGGGGTAAGGAGGAAGGAAGGGAAGGAGGGAGGAAAGAAAGAAGGCAGGCAGGCTAAGAGAAAAACCAGAGGTTACAAAGTAACTCCAAAATGCAGACTTTGTTCTGCTTCCAAAATATTATGTAACACTCTATTTCATAAACCAAAACTACAAACACAGTAGTTTTGTGTTTATGTTTAGAGTATGGCCACAGGGGGCCAGCTCTAGGCCCTGATTCTCCGTGTGAACTTCTCCCCCTTCCCTAAGGTAGCTCTTTTGTTCCCCCAGTTCCAGTCCAGATGTCAGTTTCCCCTGTGCTAACAGGGAAATGAAAGGTAGATGGGTCACTGAAACACTTGAGGCCAGCCTCAAGCTCAGAGAGCCACCGGTAGACATGCCAGCAGAGGGTCACTGAAACACTTGAGGCCAGCCTCAAGCTCAGAGAGCCACCTCCCTCTGCCTCCTAAGTGTTGGGATTAGAGGTGTGGGCCACCATACCCAGAGCAGGTGTTTTTTTTTTTTTTTAATTTAATCATTTGAGGTGGGAATACATACCTTAATCCAGACCTGTTAAGGGGGAAAGACACACTAATTTGAGTCACCTATATAAAGGACATGGCAGAAGGAAGCATCCTCCCTTTGACTAATTGTTCTCATTTTCGCTTACAAATCCATTCCTTCACTAGTTTTAGAGCCTACTTCTTCAGGATTCTGGAATATAGTAAAGACCAGCTGAGACATCCAGCCATATGCACTGAAAACGAATGGATTCTTGGAAATTCCATTGGTAGACAGCCATTGTTGGATTAGCTAGACCACAGACTATAAAACCCATTTATATGTATGTGTGTGTGTATGAGTGTGTGGTTGTGTGTGATGTGCAGGTATGTATATACGTATATGTGTGTATAATTATATACATGGTATTTGTATTATACACACACACATATATAAAGACCACAATCTAGAAAGATAATAATACTGGTGATTTGGTAGAGCCTTAGTTCCTGTCCAACATTACCATTTGAATTGAGTGAAGCACAATTAGTAAAACTCAGAGAGAGAGAGATTGGGGTTCAACCCGAAGATCTGAAAAGCAAAGCAGCCCGTCACTGGATTTTACTTCAGCCTAAGTCTGAAATGGTGATCCTGCCTCTAGGAATCTCAGAATAAGACTGCTAAGAATATCCAGAGCTGTTTCCTCCCATCGTATAAACCTCTCTAGGGCTGGGATTAAAAGCATGCACCACTGTGATTAAAAACCTGGTTTCTATGGCAAATAGTGTGGCTACTAGGATTAAAGGTGTGTATTACCAATACCTGGTCTGTAAGGGTGACAACTGGGGCTGTTTTACTCTCAGGTCTTCAGGCAGGCTTTATTTATTAAAATATAATTGAAATACCACTATACTTGAGAACAAGTTTAATTAAATCAGTTGGCAAGTATATTTGCGTGTATACTTGTGTAGACAGATTCACTGAGCTCTCTGCTCAAAACAGACCATGGCAGAGCTGCCATCTGGGAACAGAGCTGGCAGCCTCTTCCAATCCCACAGGGAGAAGTGTGTGGCCACCTTGAACTTGGTGGCTTTTCGAGGATCCTGAGGACAGAATGTTTGTCTCTTCCAAAGGAAGAGGGAGCTTGCCAGGGCCCGTGGCATGAAATGTCATGGTGGAGAGGAAGGTGCCAGGAGCCAAGAGTCTGGTAAGTCTATACTGTGTGTGTGGGGGGATTCTGCCAGTTTTGTGGCTTCCTTCTGTTTCCTTGTATCAGCCATGCGGAGCTGTGGAAAGACATACAGAGGAGATCTGCTCTACCAGCCAGCAATGCTGGAACCCCACTGACAAACGGTCAAAGGATGGACCTCATGCTAAGCGCTCATGAAACCAGGAATTCTTCTTTGCAATTTCCAAAATCTCTAATACAAATGTACCTTAAACTTTAGAAAAAGAAACCCCGAATTAACGTAAAACATGAGGCACGGGGTTCCTAGAAGATGAAGAGGAAGGCATCTTAGCCTGTCCGAACAACCCAACAAAGAAGTCCTGTGGGAATCCTAAGTGCTTATGAGAACGAGCCACAGACAAGAGTCTTGTGACCTCAGTTCCTTCGAAACGTGGCATTGTTCTTGGAATGTGTTTCCAAGCTCCTCCCACTAGTGGACAGAAGGGAGTTCACTTCAGATTCCTCATTATTGATTGTTGCTGTTATTCAACTGAATGTTCCTCTATGGGAAAACATGGTTTTGCCACGTGGGGCTTATCTTGCTGATTATACACAGCTTGAACACATGAAAACTTTATTTATGTGGCCTTTCTTAACCCTCAGAGTATAAACTGTCTGAGGCCCTGAATAAAGTTGGTCATTGCCAAAGACTTAAGTCCACCTCATTGATGGGCTCCATCCCCGCTGGTCCCACCTCTTCTAGAGGGGTGACATTAGGTACAACAGAGCAGACATTGTTAGTGTGACTCCTAGGTCTTTCACCGGTTAACAGAAACAGACTACAAAGAAGTTTTAACATATTGTGTGTGTATGTGCGCGCATGCGTGTGTGACTGTGAGTGTGTGTGTGGCCCCCACATATGTGGCATGCAGGAGTCAGAGTATCATTTTCCAAAGTTGTTCATCTCTTTCCATAATGTGAGTCCTGGGGGTCAAGCTCATGTGGCCAGGCTTGGCGGAAAGCACTTTGACTCTTCGACTCAAAAAAGGAAATTTTAACATTTGGTTTCTTCACCTACTGAATGAGGAAGCTAATGATGCCTTCCTCACAAGGCTAAGAGAGGATGACCTTAAGTCACATCCTAATAAACTTCTAGCATATCCATGCAACCTACGTTTTATATGGTGTGTGTGTATGTGTGTGTGTGTGTGTGTGTGTGTGTATACGATTGCAACTAAGTTTTTAAATCTTCAATTTAATCGGGAGAATTATGTCAAAGAAGTTGTTCGTCTGAATGGCTACCCATACCTATTAAACTAATCAACATTAAAATAAATTCATCTTAAACTTCCCAGTGCTGAGCTAGGGATGCGCTTGAGGGCCAGACATTGGACTAGCATAAGCCCTGAGCTCAGTGTTAAAAATCTCCAAAACAAACCCAAAGTTTGTCCACGCATCCTTAGTGAGACATTAGGAGAAGGCATATAAATCTGATATGTGATCTCCCTGAGAACTGTTATTTTAATAGTTATTATAAAATAAGGAAGGTAACTATTATTCTGAGACGCTCCTAGGAGCATCTATAGGGTACACGGTGAGAGCTGTCAATCAATTTATGCCTCGACATCTTGGACCTCCCAGCAGTGCTTAATTTCAAAGAACACTGAGTGTTTGTAGAATGACTCACTATGTCTTAACACTTGTTCTGGGAGTTTTGCACACAGGCAGTCGTGTGAGACTAGTTTTCAGTTCAATAGGGAAGGTGTAGAGCTAGGCTGACCCATCTGGGGGGCGGTGCAGGAGGGGCGGACTCCGACCCCATTCCTCAAGCAGAGGATGACACATTTCTGTTGCTGCAAGCTGAAGTGTCTCTGGCAGCCCACTCGCTGCCCAGCAGGGAAGACAGAGCAGAGAAATAATTACCTCCAGGAGATGGAGACCAGGAGACTACTTCTGCTCTGGCTACAACCCCAGGCAGAAGCAGCTGTTACGTTACAGTGAGTCAGTCAGATTCAAAAATATATCTTCCTAATGTGGATTTTTAAAATCAACTCGAACGCTAAATAAATCTCCGCAAAAGCCTGAGAGGGCTCACTCAGATCTGGCAGAACAGTCCATGAGCCAGGGGCTTGTAGACTCACTGATTTCACTCTTGGGTTTGCCACGGTGGTGGGCTCACAGGTAACATTCAGATACAGTCCAAGGGCCAAACACCAGCCTTGGCTGGTTTGGGGAGTGAAAGGAGCCTAAAGTGTGTCCACGAACTTGGTGATTTCTAAGCCTAAGAGTTCTGGTCCTGGCAGTCTCAAAACAGACCATATGGGGAGGGGGAAGTACTGTCAACCCACAGAAGGAGGGCTATGGAAACAAACCCAACGTTCACAGTTACCTTCATCTGTCAACTTGATACCAACCTAAAGTCACTTGGGAAGAGAGAACTTTAACTGATGTATTTACTGAGCCAGGTGAAAATGGCCTACGGATACATCTCTGAGGCATTCTCATTGATAACTGATGGAGGGGGACCCAGCCCACCATCCCCAGGCAGGTGTGGCTGAGTTGTAT